GCGGAGTATTAACTAGTTGCTTTATAAGTTGGAGTGCGCTTTACCGACCACAAATAATTGCTTTATTAGTTTTATTATTAATTAGTACTTCTAAAATTTATTTTATAATCTACATCTGTTAAAAACTTTTTGGCCCCTAGCATGTTGCTCAAGCTCCATTCCGCGTTAGGTTGTTAATTTTTTTATATTTAATAATTTAAAAATTAATATAAATAAAGATATAATATTTTTAAAAAATTTAATTAAATATATAAAAAAATTTTAAATGTTAATTGATGTACAACTCAAATTGTCACTTTTATTATACACATTATTTATAACATTAATATAAAATTAATATTTTAAGATTTTAAATTATACTTGAAATAGTTTAAACTTGCTGCTGTAAATCATAAAACACCCTTTTATGTCTATTTTCAAACATATTAATTACAGTAATTGAAAATTTTAAAGCCCCAAATTTTGTTTCGCTTAGCTTCTGCATCTTCTTCCACTCCACTTTGGTTGTACAGTAAGACGTTCGTAACCATTTAAGCTTGGGTGGGAGAGAGGGATAAGCAATTCTCCCTTATTCCAGCAATGGAACGAGCAATTGCAAATCCAGGGCTGAATTGTTTAAGAATTGTCTACAAGTACAGTGTCAAATCTCACTCTACAAGTTGCTTATTCTAGGAATGGAACGATCAATTCCAGAATATGGGGCTAAGAGCTGTTTAGTGTTTAGTGTGACTTGTGGGAGATTTTGCTTTTTGAGTACTGTTATGAGTGATAAATTTAAATTTTTATTGGAAGAAAAATAAAATTTTAGCTTTTAAAAAAGTAAAAAAATAAGTGAAAGGTAAATAAAAAAGAAGTTTATGAAAAGTTTGAATTTAAAATTTTTGAATTTTCACTGTTTAAAAGTTTTTTAAAATTAAAAAAATATTTAAAAGTATAAATTTTTTTAAAAAAATTTTAATTCATGAAACATAAATAATATTCAAAAGCTAAAACTCCCATGATCCAAACACCTTAAATTGTTTAAGTTTGTCTACAAGTACTAGAGCTGGGCGTCCTGCCACCATACCATGTAAATTGCAATACAATGCCACTTAATGACAGAAACGACACGGCAATACTGCCACGAAATAAGGCCAGTGGTACTATGGCAAGTACTGCATTGTTCATGGTTCGGTACTGGTTATGAGACTGGTGCCGAAATTACCGTGGCTGCTTCATGTTCTGCTGTAATTATTTCACCTGTTTTCCCTTTTCCCTTTTTTCTTTTTTCTTTTTGTTAATTTTATCATATAATGGCAAAGTTGTAATTAAAATGAAGATTTTTCAACCCTAGGTATAAATATATGTTAACACTATATTTGGACAAAAATTAGTAAAAGAAAGTGAAAGAAAGAGAGGAGAAGTAGAGAGAGGGAAGGGGAAAGAGAGTAAAGTATTAGTATTAATTTTATTTAAATAGATTAAAAAAAAAGAAGGAAAGAGAGAGATTATGTTTTTTTTTATTTAATTAAATAAATTAAAAAAATAATT